AGGGGAGCTCCATCCCTAATCACTTATTCTGATTGAACTTGGTAATTAGATGAAGGGATGGATGACACCCTCTTTCAACAATATTTTCTAACCTAAGGGAAATATTTATCTATGTCTAATTAATTTGTGTTAGAGTCAGTTTTCCACTAAATTTTCACTATTTACATTTTTTTATTTTGGTTTTCAACTTCAGTTAAGTTTTAGTTCTTTTTTATTTATTAATATTGTTTTTGTAAAATGACTTTTAAGTTTATAATTCTTTCATTTATTTTTTTATTAGTACTTTTATTTCGTTTTTATTTGGTTTGCCATTATAAACAACATTTTGGCTGGTTTATATACATGTCAATCACACTCCCATTTCCTGTCTAACAAATATGCTGATAGTCAGAGGTCAATCTTGAATAGGGCTGCACGATGTCAGTGAACAACGGCTCTGTGTAGTTAATGCTGCTCAATGTGAAAGCATGCACGTGATGGAGATTTACCGCTGATTTACAGCTGTTTTTGACAGGGTAAAAAAATTGTTTTTTACACTACCATTGAGAAATTTTAACCAAACTATGTTACAGACTTTTCATTAAGACCCTAAAGAATCATATCAACTTGTGGAAAATGGGCATCCTATGACCCCTTTAAGACTGGATTGATGACTGCTGAAAATCCAGCTTTGCAATCACAGCATTAAATTACATTTTAAAATATATTCAAATAGACATCAGTTATTTTAAATTGTAATAATATTTCACTCACAGTATTTTTATCTTTGAAAAACATGACGATCTCAAACTTTTGAACAGACTGTGCCTATGCAATAAAGTCTTTGATTTACAAAACATGTAATTCAGAAAAACCTAGACACATAGTAATTATACATATTTCTACAACAAAGTTTATTTTCTGCTTATATATTTTTAAACACACCTCGCACTTGATTTGAAATGCCTGAATTTGTGAACTAAGGTTAAAACCCTAAAAACAAATGTGACAGACACAAATAAAAGTGAATTATATGTTTCTCTTATGGAGATGTACTGCACCCTCTGTTCTGGCTTTGCTTTGCCTTTGTTTAAAGCTCACATTATTCAGCACTAGACAGACAGCTGACCCGAGGAGCACCAAACAGCCCTGTTCCGTGAACTGGCATGTGTAATAGCAGGTGTTATAGTTCAGGAGGCTTTCTCAGTGAAAGTGATGCTGTGGTTTGTGGCAGCTCTCTGACAGTGTGTAATTATCAACTGTGCTGGCTAGTCTGAATGGGTGAGAAGATGGTATCTGTATCTAAGAGAACTTAAAGAGATAGTTCAGTCTAAAATGAAAGTTATGTCATGATTTGCTCAGTCCCATGTTGTTCCAGACTTGTGTTATTATCTTGCTTTCACTTATAAATTATGAACATTTATCGGTCGCCTCATCTGATCTTACTATATTAACACAGAATTATTGCTTACTTTTACCTTTTTATTATATTTAATAAGGACTTTATTTATTATATTGGGAATCAAAAGTGTGGCCTTGCTAGCTCTCTTTCTGTCTTTCTCTCTGACACACACAGACCTGCTCATGTCTTGCTAATTTACAGCGTGCACACACATATGCTCACCCAGGCTGTAAGTCATTTTGGTATCTCAGTGTGGGCTGTAAGTGTTTGTCTGTCTCGCTCAAGGTCAGGACTGAATGTGTGTCCTGATTGGATCGGGGAGGGCATAGGCATCGAGCAGTACCACACGCATACACAGACACCCAGGGCATCTGTTTCTCTGTCTCATTTTTTCGGTCCTCTAAAGACAGCTCCATCACCTTGGAAAGTGGCTCTTCTGAGAGGGCGATTGGTACACAGGGGCTTCAAAAGTAGAAAATCTTCTCCAGAGTGGAAAGAAAAACTGAATCTTTTACGTCTGGTCCACTGAGGCTCTTTCCTCCTCACAAATGCACACGGTTTCTTTGTCCTCTGGGAAATTACCATAGGCACTAACAGATTGACTCAAATAAGCCCAGTCTCTGCTCTGTTATTTCTTTGCTACGTCATGAGAATAATAGACCTGTGCAGAAGGGGTAGTCCATCCATTTTTATCTATCTATCTGTCTCTCAGTATCACTGACTGTCTACAATGATAAAATAATAAAATTCTCTCTATATAATTTTCTCTCTATGATCTTTATATAAAAAAAGGCAAAACAATAAAGCAGATTACTGCTTAAATGAAAAAAGTAAAAAAAATAAAATAAAAATAAAAAGTTAAGTTTACTGTCAAGAAAATTAACTGTACTCATTTATTTTATATAAAATAAAACATTTTACAACATTTTTTGGAATCTATAATTGGAATCTAAAATTGTCTATTAAATTGGAATCTAAAAACTATAAAATTAAAGGCAAATGTTCCAAATTTGAAGTTGATATCACAAAAATTGAGGCTCCTTTGAAAGTTTTGTTGGCACTATACCAGGAAAAACCACTGAATAACACCCACTGAATTGTTTATGCGTTTTCCTATCACAAATTTATAAATTTCTGTCACAATATTACTTCCATCACAAAATAGTCACCAAATATGGAACCTTGAGACTCAGACCTTTCCAACAATGTTTGTCAAAATTAGAAAAAGTATTGATTATTTTTATTAATTAGGTTTGTAATATGACAATTAACACCGCCCACTAAGGGGAGGAGCCTACCACTGTCTGTCTGGCTACATAATATATGTAAAAAAAAAAAAAAATTATATATACAGGTATGTGTGTATATATATATATACGTATGATAAGATGATATTTGATTTTTAATTTTTAGTCAGTACTTATTTTATGTTTTTCTAGTCAATCTTGATGGAGGCATTAATAGCCAAATGGAAAATCTTTGAATTATTTTTGGAATTTTGTTGTTTTAAAGTCGGCATGAAACGGAAGTTGCGATTGTCTTTTCTTCTCTACTGTGACGTATATCTGAGTGAAACGGCATCTGAAATGAGAGGACGGGACTTGATTTCGTCCTTCGGGAATTGATTGGATCGTTGGAAGTTGGGGCGTTGCCAACAAAATGGAGGCAGATCTGAATGCCAGTTTGCAGTTAGTGGTGGGTGATTTCTCTCCACTGGATTCACAGCCGACACCCAAGCATGAATAAATGTTTTATTTATTAAGGATGACGACGACGATCAACGGCACAAAACATGCCTAAACAGCGCGTGCACGCGAGAGAGCGAGAGAGAGAGAGAGAGACTGCCTGAATGACTGTCCTCCATCAGGTTAAGTCATACTCATGAAAAAAACTTAGTTTGCGATGTCCTAAGAGTAATGTTGTCGTAATATCATTTCAATGTTTAGGGGTAACGTACTCCCTCATGACTGGTGTCAGTGCTATAATGTGAAGCATCAGCTTCAGCTTTTCCCCCTGTGGTTTATCCCAGCATTTACCCCTCACGTCACTAGCTCCGCCCTTGCGCCATAGGTCGTGACCGGAAGAGAAAATGAGTCGTTTTGAGGGGGAGGGGAGGTTAACGCTTTTGATTAAAGATTACGCGGGCACATGAATTAAAAAAAAAATAATGAAGTGCACGGATAAATTATTTATAATAAACACTACAGTATTCCATTAAAAAAATAAGAATTTTCATGGTGACTTTAAGCTTATTTTTTTTACAGACCTTCTGTTACTCATTTCTGTTACTTCTTTCCAATACCAGATCCAGGCTTTCTTTAGTGCTCTATTGAAATGCAGGTCATTTCTAATTGTGCATATTGTCTTGGGCAGAAGGACTCCAGATGCCGAGTCATTGCTTGGCATTTGTGTATGATTGATGAGGAAACAGTGCCAGACAACAGCGCCTCTGCATTTTACAGCGCTGTGAAACTTCCCCTCGAGCTGGCAGCACAGGAAGTGGAGGAATCCAGAGGGCAGGAGGACAGCGATTAGTCTTTCGTCTCTTTAATAGCAGCCTGATTAGATTCCCATGATAATGCTTGTTTTTCATTAATACAGAGTGGGCAACAGCCTCAAAGTTTAGTTGAAGGTCAAAAAGAGTCACTATTCTGTGCCATGGCTGCACAGTTGCTAAAGATGTGTTCTGCTGGCAGGGTTAAAGAAATAAAATTGTCATATAGTCAGTTATTACTGTGTATATCAAAAAAGGAAATGTTTTGAAAGATGTTCACTCTGCACTAATCATATTCACATTTGAACATCTTAAAATTTGGCACATCAGGATGAATGTCTTATAATTGAACACGATGTGCTAAGTTTGAATATGCATAAGTATGAGAAGATTTTTAGTGAAGAACGACCTAAATTTAGGTCTGTTCCTCACATAAAGCTCACATATCTAAGTCATATCAACCGCTTTTATGTTGCTTTTTTGTCAGTTATGTTCTATAGGGAGTCTGCTTGGTGACTGATGACTTTTTCCAGTATTTTTGTACTCATTGCAGAGAGAACATAAACCAATGTTCCCCTAGTTCAGATAGGATCCTATATTCACATCACTTTCAAATTGTCTCTCTCTATCACTTTATATTAACTTTATTTTTATTTTCCGTAAAGTCTGCTCTAGTTTTATGCTGACTCAGGCTTTAGTGAGTGTCTGTTCAGATCAATGTTGAACAGTTGTTCTGAAGCTCCATCCTAGCCGTTTCTTTGGCAGATTGAGGCTGGCGTGATGCCCGTTTTGGTTCTTGAGGGTGTCACTCAAGCCTCCCAACCCTGAGCTCTTGTTAGGACAATGCTGAAGGGGGAAAAGGATCGCTGAGTT